ATTTTGAAATGAAGCCAGACAATAGTTGAAAATCTCATCAATTCAGAAAATTCAAAATGATACTCGTTCCTATCGTCTGTTAACAGTGACTCCATTCAAAATAAACGAAGTATGTTTCTCAGGCTGTCTATTACCCTAATCACAGTAGAAAATTTACACAGAATTCCCTTTTTAAGAAGTTATTCTTTGTTAAATATTGAAGACAAAAGGAAAACGTCAACTTAAAAACGAAGCCCAATAGCCGTGGTAGGAGGGAAGAAAATGTGCATCTTTTAAAAGTACATTCCATAAAAAATGGCAAAGAATGTTTCATTTAAATACAAAGAGCAAATCTGTGGCAAGCACATCATAAAAGAAATTTTATCTTTGAAAATAAATGTTTAACAAAAGCGGTCCAGTGCGATAAAAATGATAATTTAAATACAATGAACAAATGACTAACAGCTTCCGTAGCTGCGGAAAGCTACTTTTTTTTCCTTCTCTTTTGAAAACTCATGTATGCTGCAATGTGTTTTCGGTTTTTAACTTTAATTTTAAATATTATGAATTATTTTGGAGTGTAATATGTTTCAAATAATCATGAATTTAAAATTTTTTATTAAGAATATAATAAATCTATTATTTTCTTCCTAACATCTACATTTCTTTGGCTTAAAAAAATTAAACTTTATTTGATTTTGAAAGAAGCGAACAAATGTGCAATCTCTTTTCTTCAATTTCGATTAACTCCGAGCATATATTTAATAATTCCTTTGTTTGAAATATAATGGATATTTAGTCCTATCTATTGAGTAAAATAAAAGGCAGAAAAATGAAATAGAAGGAAGTGTTTTTAAAATATTGTGTGTACAAGCTGCTTAAGAATCAGATTTAGGATTAAAATTTTAATTTGATATATTATCGGTAATAGTTACGACTTTCAGAATTTCTTTCGACCCATCGGCGTTAAAAAGCATGCTTAGTATAGAAATTTTAACTACAACTTTGCTTCCTAGATGGCAGTAGTAGTTACAATTCAGTAAGCTGCATCCGAAGAATTTCCCGTCTCGCCCTCTCTTTAGAATTCCAAGTAAGGTTACCAATGCATCTTTCACCCACATAAGTAAAAATACTTGCCCAACCCGAGAAATATGCGCCTCTAGGTAAAGAAGGACGCAGTTTAAGATACATTAGAAATCTAACTGATTTTCTTGACGTACATTTTATAGACAGATTATATCAAGTATAGCTAATGAATATTAAATAATTAAGTATACCTAATTTAAATAAAATTTAAAAAAAAAAAGTTGAACAAAAATTCAGACTTGGAAAGAATTTCAATTTTACATGCTCCGTTTTTTTCTACATTTTTTTAACATAAAATAGTGAAGACCGAAAACTATCGAAATATTAATGAAGTATTAAAGAATTTACCATTTGAATAAAATTAAAAAAAGAAGAGTGCTGCAATCTATATATTAGTACAGAATTTCCTACTGCCTGTTAAATTTATTACTGGTTGCAGACTATAACTTCTAGAGTTAGAATTTTGCAGTCGATTAAGTATAAAATGTTTCATTCATTCGTTAACAAACCTATGTTTCATTCATGACCGTCAGGAATCAAATAACACTTGATGCAAAATATTGTTACGAAATCCACATAAATTGACTTTTTTAATGATTAACTCACGATATCGAATACATATCTATCGCAGTCAGTTATTGCAAAGTGGGGGAGGGGGGTTTCTTTCAAAGAGAAGAGATCTTTCAGGTTTTACTGTGTTTGATAACGGAATCAATTTTTTATTAAATGCGTTATTAATAAGAGATAAAACTGGATAATAAATATTGTTTATTACATATTAATTATTCAACAGTTTTTTGAAAAACCTTTTTGAAAAAGGCACTGAAAAGTGAAGTTGTGTTCTTCCATATACCAACATTTATTTTTTCAGTGAGTGTTTTTTTTTTTTTTTTCTCGCCTGTTTTATGGTTCTTATAAAAATCACCTATTGTCCTATGCTTTGTTTCTCTTACTTGATAGTGTTTTAAAGAAAATTGTCATTTTAATACCATTTAATATTTTTAAAAACAGTGTGGTCCACCTTTAGTTACCCGAGGGCCAATCAACGTTAGTTAGTATAGGGGAATGAAGGCCAATCAAACGTTAGTATAGGAGAATGAGAGCCAGAGACATTAAAGAAAGAAAATAATTACATATAAATCACTAGTTTAATATATCTTAGGAATGAAAGAAATTTCTGATGGACAGCTTGCCAAGTTTCCGCTAAATCTGCTATCTTGTATTCTTAAAGCGCAGGTTGCCAGCTAGTTCCCCATCCTAGTGACTGTTTTACCTGCTTGTTTCACAAATTATTTTTAAGCAGTAGAAGGGTCTTTTGTTTTTCCAAATGTTTAATTAACATTTTTGTCTCCAGTAAGAAGGGCAAGTGCCAACAAAATGAATAAGAATGCCGCTTGTGGGCCCCACGGATTGGGCCACACTGATTTAAAAGAAACTAAATGCGTCGAAATTCTTTCTTCCACTCCAATCTTCATAATACTTTTTTTTTCAAATTTGCTTTTTTAATCGACGTTCTTTTTTAAAAAAATATTTTTTACTGCTTTCTCCTCGCTAATTTTGCTAAATATTTGCAAACACGAAAATCTTCGTTATCGATGAGCACTATGACCTGGAGAATGAAATATTAAAGAAAATTTATTGTGAAAAAGAAAAAGGCTTTTTTTTGTTTGTTTTTCTTTGACGTATGCCTATTAGTTATTATGAAACAAACCAAATGGATTCATGCGTCAGTGCATCTCATATATTATTTGAGCCTCTCAGATGTCATAGTGGTTAGCGACGCTGACTGCCGTACCGAAGAGCCCGGGTTCGAATGAATCCTGGAGAAAGCACAGATGCTCCTAAGTGTATAGTGTCTGTGCGGCATGGGAACACTCAAAATACCGAGAAAGCCGAAAATCCTCTCGAACGGTTTGAGAGTAATGATAGAGGGGGGGATGACCTTTGGACCCTTTCCCTGGAGACTCGTCACCTTCTTTCAAAACTGGGACGTTATTGGACAAAGTCGTACTACCACTTATATTGTCCTAAGACTCATACCAACAACAGACGCCGTACTGCACTTCTTGCCAAGTTAAAATTAATGGGCTTGTTCTGATTAGATCAGACAAGTAAGATTAACCACAAAACAACATATTATTTAAATCGGCAAAGCATACGACAGCTATCATCCTAAAAAGAAGAATGCATTCGTGGAGGACTCAGTGGTATTTAGAAATTTTAGATATTTTTAATCTATGGCTGAGTAAATTCTTCATGTGAATAATAGATGGGGAAAAGAAGCAGTAAACTTTGGGATAACTGTCTGGGGCTTTTGAATGCAGCTAGACGCGGCTCAAAGGTTCTTTCGAATTTATTGGTAATGATTGTTCCTATGCTGGCTGTATTCTCTCTGTATGTTGTAGTGGCACTTTAAGTTATTTGTTCATTGCCAATATGACACAAACTTCATTAACAGTTTTAACTTTGTACAAATTAAAGAAAGCAAATGCATGTGTTCAGATCTGCCTATATATTTCACTTGTATATTTTCGAAGAATTTGAAATTGTTTGAAACTCTTATTTATTAAATATAATTATTATATCCAGTAAATAAAATTTCTATCCTGTCGGTCGTAAAAAATGTAGATTTAAATTTTTTTGCAAGACTGGCACGCTTGAAACTACAAGGATATCATTTAATGACCCTCTCAAGTACTAAACTGAAATTTAAAGGATTTGATTGCTGTTTTTTGATGGCTTAAACTTTTTGTCATATGTATTTTGTAGAGCATTGCTTTCCCAATTTTGTCATACATGTACTAATTGTACATTTCGCTTAATGTTCTTACCTGTGGCGCGAGTCCAAGCGTGAGTGATAGAGATGAATCCAACTCAATTTCCTCGTCTCCTTCACAAAACGGCTCCACTATGCTCACTTATCGCCCCCTTAATTATCAAATCTTCGTTTTCAACTCAGCTGCGGAATAAGGTGATCGCGCTGCGCGCCCTCTTCATTAGCCACACCGGACCCAATCGCCAAAAAACTGAATGACTACATGAAAGAAGTACAAAATTGCCTTTTTGCACGTACTTTCTCTCTTAAGGTCAACTACAATGAAAATTCTTTCTCGAACATTTAAGGACAAGCGCGCGAATCTGACTGCAAAATTGCCTCCCTTTCCAGCTCTTTCACAATGCTAAAAGTTGTACAAGATTGCAAATAGAGGAAAAAAAAAGTCTTAGAAAAAATAATATTCCCAGAAGCTCTGTTTCCCCAATTAAACCTTAAAATAATAATTCAAATCAAATAAAATTTAAAATTTCCTAAATCAAAAAATCAGATCTTTTTAATATTGAATTTTCTTCAGACAGTGCAAAAATATAGCCTTCAATCCCCTTCTTATTTTTCAATGACATGCTAAAGAAAAGAATATTTTTAGACCAGATGATTTAATATTAAAATACTTTATATGAATGAAAAAAGATAATTTTATATATTTATTAGGCTTTAGTATCCTGCTTTCAGATGAAATAACAAGTAAAGCTTTTTTTTTTTTTTTTTTTTTTTTTAGGTTTTGTTATGATGCTCACTCTTTTTACATTTATTTTCTTTTCAGAATTAGCATCTTTTGGTGTGAGAGTTAATTCTGTGAAGTGAGCTTATTTTGATTAATTTGAAATTTAACATGAATTCTAAAATTCATGTATTAGCCAAACTTATGCTCATATCTTTTTAGTCCTGGAGTAATAATAACTGAAATCCATAAAAGAGGTGGTATGTCAGAAGAGGAATATGAAAAGGTATGTGTCTTCATAACTGAAAAAAAATCTTTCTTTCTTTTTTTTTTTTTTTTTTTGGAAGATTATTTTAAATGAATGAATTACCAAAACTTATGCAGTTTTTGCTATGAATGTATAGTTTGAATAAATAAAATATTTACATAATTAATGATATTTAGTGCATAATTTTCCAGTAGTGTTCGTATTAATTAACCATTTAGTGCACAAAATTGTAAATCCCATAATTTCTGAAATATTAAATTGGAATTTTGATACCATAACTGAATAAACTTGCAGACTTCAAAATTTATTCTACAGTCCCAAAAGTCCATTAACATTTGAAAAATCAATAATTTACAGAATAATATAGGTAGAGAGGTAAAAATTGACACACATGCTTGAAATGACATGAGGTTTTATTGGAGGAAGAAAGAAAAAAATCAAGAAAAATACAAAAAAAAAAGGCCAACATATGGTGCTGGGTAGCAAAATGCTAGTGACATCGCATGAGTATCGTGTAAAATGAGCTGTAGTGAGAGAGGGAATCAGTCCCTTCATGACTTTGTCACTTTTCTATCCTCACCTCCAGGTGTTGGTCACAGTAGGATATGGATTTATCACATCAGTCGTGATCGGACCATTTTTCTTCGAGGAAATGTGTGGTTCTACTATTCCGACTGTCAGTGTGATGGGTGCAAGGCACGCTGATTTGTTACAGAATGGCATCATCTCTAGTCTGGCTGATAAACACCTGTTGGAAGATATGATTTTTATGCAGGATTGCAGTCTACCCCATATTGCTACACGTGTGAAAGATCTCTTACACACATTATTTGGTGAGGATCTCATGCTGAGCCGCCACTTCTGTCATGCTTGCCAACTTAGGCCCCCAAATCTCAATTCATGTGATTATTGGTTGTGGGGTTACTTGAAATCACAAGTCTACTGTGATTGTCTGACCTCATTAGGGATGCTAATAGACAAAATCCAAAGGAAATTTCTCATCATACCTATGGATATGCTGTATAGTGCTCTTCACAACATTGTCCCTTCACTACAGGTATTGTTGATGAATGACAGCCAACATGCTGAACGTTTGTTATGAAGAACATAGTCTTTGTTAAAAATCAGTTATTGCTTTTGTTATCATATGAAGCACCATTTGTTGGCCCATGACATTTCAAGCATGTGTATCAGTTTTTACCATTATAGCTATATTATTCAGTGAATTACTGAATTTTCAAACATTAATGGACTTTTGGGTCACCCTGTACTTTGCCATAGGTGTAGTACTATTTTTTTGTATTTTCAGTTGCAAATTAAAGACTATTAATGAGCTTCCTCTAAAAGTACTACTTCTAGTTGTTGAGTTTTACCCCAAATCTAATCTCAACTGTTTCTATGAATGTAGAAAACTTAAATACAGAAAATAGAAATTCTAGAAGTTTCTTATAAGAATTATCGTGGATGAAAAAATCATCACACTCAAATATACAGACAAATATCAGTATAAAAATGGTAAAACATATTATGGGGATCCTAATTTTGTGTGTACTGAAAAAACATTACCTTTCTTACCTATCTATATAGGTTGGTGGGAGGTAATTATGTAATGATTTTATTGAAGTCGGCTAATTCAATAGGTTTTGCTAGCAATTAATAAGAGACTAGTGTTTACTGTTTTTAAATCGCTTAGTTTGTTCATCATAAATTGTGCTTTTTTTCACAATGCGGGGAACCATATTTACATACATAGATTTAATAGATTATTTGTATCAGCAACTAGCTAGTACTCGATAATATAGATGAACTACTTTTTTTTTTGGCTTTTAAATAAAGAGAAATTAAATATTTACATTTTGCTGAATGGCAACACACTGAAAAATAAAAATATTTATTTTAGGCATCAGCAAAATATATTCTTTTCAATTGCTGAGTTTGTTGATTAAATTTGGAAGACATTAGTGAGTGGCATAATATTGTTTTTACACAGCTGAGTTTCTTCATCAAAAATTCATTAAATTTGTACAAAATATGAAATAAATAAAGGTAAAAAATTCAGGTGGAGGAATAAACATATTCAAATTTTGGTGGCTGTATGTGTTGCCATTTTCCCACAATGTGAGGAACATACAGAATCTTTATTAGCTGGAGGTTATATTGGCCGTATAATCCTTTTCGGTCCTAATGGGCACATACGTCCCAGAGATTCGATTTCATTCCCTATTTGGTAAATAAAACCCACTTTTAAATGGGTTTTTATGTTTCCAGTAAATTTAAAATTAAAACATTCCTTCTAAAATTTCTAGGAATTGGGGAATAAACATATGACTAAAGAAATCTGGCCTATTTGCCAAATCTGTCAGGTTGCACTTTGTAAAGACTGCTTTATGCCATATCATATTTAACTGTACTGTAAGAATAAAATATTTGGTATATTTAATTTATTTACATGCAGTATAAGGTTGTTATCACAATATCCTAGATGACAAATGGTCCTAGTTGACAATACGATTAGGACATATTGTCCCAGGAGAGTTCTAGAAACGGGAAAGTTAAAAACTTTAAGCCCATATTACACTTCTTTCTATGCCAACATTAAATAAAACTTCATTACCTAGTTAAATTTTAATCATGCAAAAGTCGGGTCGAAAGGGTTAAACCTATGTTTCATCTCGTTATATAATAGGTAATTTATTTTTTTTATCATATTTTATACATGAGAAACAGAGTACTCATATTTTTAGTATGTTGATGTAAAGAATAATCTTTATAAAACATTAATGACACAGGGTTCGTACGGTCCTTAAATTTTTCAAAAATGATTTTTGGTCCTTAAAAGTCCTTAATTTTGGTCAAAATGAATAAACGGTCCTTAATTTTGCTCATTTGACATTTCTTATCATTTCTAATGATTGGCATACGATAAAAAAACAATTAGCTACCCTAGGACAAAAGTATCGGGTGTCTGATTGCCTATTTACCCAATCTTTCGAAAAAGGTGTTATCCATAAATTTAGGCAGATTGTGACGAAAGCATGAAGCCGGAAGTTCTTTAAGAGGCGAAAGTGATGATGAAGGTGCTCGAGGAATAAAAAAAGGGGGATATTCTGAAAATATTTGCCAAAATTAGAACAATTCCAACCTGGAAGGCCACAACCCCTCGGACGCGTCAATAGGAACAAGATGCCTGAAAAGTGCATTTTCAATAAACTGTGGCTTCATCAAGGCTGGTTACAAAGACTGGATATTGATGGATGACAATCCTTATAAAGCTAAATGGGGTTTTTGTCTGAAACAAATTGAAAGTTTCTAGGATGGGAGAGTCAGCGTTGAAAATTCACATGAAAGCTAAGTTTCGTTTTATCATTTCGAATTTATTTTTACATGGTTTTGCTTACCTTAATTTCTGTGTTAGTTTGAATTAAGCCATAAATTAATTTTTGATGACCTTCTACGGAGTTTATTCTCTTTTGCACATATATGCATGGGATATCGGGATTATGAGTATTTCTGCAGAGGGTCTGTTTATCGATTTCGCGGGAAATCTGTTGGCTCCATTTCGATTTTAGGTTCGCCAAGGGCAAATTTCGGTAACGACTAGCCAAAAAAAGTGAAGTTTCGGAAATACGTTTTGAAGTTTCAATAGACAATTAGGAATTTGGTTTAATCCTATGCACAAGGTATCCGTTGCATAAGGGATTTGGCTACTTTATGATGAGCAGTAAACAGGACATATACGGTGAGTAGTTAAAACGGGTCATTTTGGTGTTGGCGATAATTTTCAAAATTGCACCGTAAACTAGAATTTTACCAAGCATTTTTATAAAAGGAATACTGCTTTCAGAAGAATGTTATTGAATTTTGATATCGCATATCGTTATCCAAATAGTTGGTCGATATAAAATTTCATTGTGATAATGATTGAAATTATCTTTTATTATTAAGCTAATTTCACCTATTTATAACTAGAAATTAAAATAAAAGCTAAATCCTGAATAAAAAGTCAGTGTTGAAATGATAAGGAAAAAATAAAAGAAACGGAAGATTAATAAGTGAAAAGAAAATGACCTATAAGCGGACTGGTTGCTACACGGAGAAAACATGTTCATGATATTGCCAATATAGCATTCGTATGGCAATTTTAGCGATGTAACAGAATCTCTGCAGGAATGCTTGCCTAGAATATTTTTGCAATGTCGCAATTTTTTATCAATATAGTACATTTTTTAAGTGTTAAAATATAATGCGTAAGAAAAATTCATACATTTTTGTTTAACAATAAAACCAGTTATTGCAGAAATTTTATCTTTGCTCCATCGATAGACAAAGAAATGTTTTAATTAAAATTTTCTGCTGTGAAGTTCTGCTTTTACCGATGGTTGCAAAATGTCCCAGCAGTTGAAAGAGCCATTGAAATATGAGATGACTTGCTACTATACATTAAAAAAGTTGAAATAGGGCAGTTTAAAAAAAAATATTTAAATCCTTCTCAAATATTTTGGAGGCAACTAAGGATAAAACATTTCTTATAAAATTAATTTTTTTTTCTCTCTCTGTCGAAAATATTATTCCCTTTCCTTGAATATTATCAAAGTGATAAACCACTTATTCCCTTTTTTTGCTGAAGATATCTTAAAACTTGTAAATGATTACTTTTAGCACTTTAAAATTTTGAAACTAGAATATTCAAAAATAACTAAAGCAGAAAATCTTTATAAATTTAATTTTAATAATCCAAATTGTTATAATGATAAAAGTAAAGTTTATTTGGGATTCATTGCTGAGCAGTTAATGAAATGATAAATGCCGCAAGAAGGACATTTCACGATCTGCAAGTTTTGCATTGAAACAATAAGGTCAACAATGTATCTTAACAATGGTACAGCACTTAATGGCTAAATGTCCAATAAATTATTCTCTTATTTGAAATGCATCTTGTATAGACCCACAGTTGATGGCTAAAAGCCCAAAACAAAATGAAAATAGTTCTAACGGTATTAATGCGGAATAAACATGTTTTACAAGATAATTCTGATGAAATTCTGCTACAGTTTGGAGAGATTCTAGACAAAGTAGTTAAGACAAATTTACATGAATTTTTTACTTTGGATCCTCAAAATCTTTCTCTTGACACATTTCTCACTTCTTATTTTCATGATTTTCACTATTCAAAAAAGTAAGGAAAATAGTGAAAATGATTCTTATCTTGTTACATGGACCTCTGTGGAAAGGGTCTGCTCTGTAAATAAAGCAATTGAAATTGAAAATTTAAGTGATTCATCATACATTTTTCAACGCACAGTATTTGATTACATAAAATTATCTGGAGGTATTCTTAATATCAAAATTAATAAAGAAATGAGATCAGCAGCAGCTTCGATAGATGCTTTTAGCAGATGAAGTCGAGACCAGCAGGAACATTGATTTGTTTATTAAAGCAAATGAACTTATAAGAATAGTTAAAGAAAAGGAAATAGACATAAATAAATTAGATGTTAAAATATCTGAAAAAATTTCAGATTTAAAAACAGCATAAATGTTTTGTATCTTTTATTGTATAGTTCATTATTCTAGTATCTTTCAAAAAACCAAAGAAATAAATTGTATATTTACAAATCTGTTATTTTAATTTGCAAAATATTCTTACATTGCAATTATAATAGTAGTTGACTGTGTTTAAATAAATATTAAAAAAAAAAAAAAATCTGAAATATTTCAGATTTTAAATTACGTCCAAAGGGGCGTTTTTTAACATTTTGTGTGTTACCTTTCTTTATTAAATATCATGTTCCTCGCACTTAAACCATAAGATCCAGTGCAACAGCAATATCGCAAAATAGTTTTAAAACGAGCATATCTTTAGAATTTCCGATACAGAGACTCACGCGCTGGAGATAAAAATGTTTTTTCTGCACAACGTTGCCATTGCTCGCTTTGAAATCCTTGAGTTTGTTAATCAAAAATTCGTCAAAGCTTTAAAAAATAGGAAATCGATCATAAAACAAATTTCAAATTTGGTCTTCCACATGCTCATATTCGTTGGAGGATTACGTTATTCAAAATTCGATGACTCTATGTACCGTTATTTTATGACAATGTGAGAAATATACATACATTTACGCAGATTTTCATTATTTAATTTCTTCAAATATAATGCAGGACTCTAACATTTTATGGCAACAGTTTGAAAAGTGAACCGACATTTATCCGTCCGACGCAAAATGCCAAAACGAAACTAATAGTCCTTCGGGATTCAAATGCCTTTGGACTAATAAGTTAAATAATAATCATGTAAATCTCTAAAATATCTGCGGCTGTTATTGGTGTAAAATACACTTATACATGGTTTTCAAGAAATTATGTTCTTAATTTAATGTTATCTACTTCATAACTTGTAGGGAGTTAGTTTAATTTTCAAAATTTGTTTTATGTTAAGTATTAAATTGAATTTAATAATAGTGCATAATACACACTTTTGTTAGTTTCTTAAATGGATAATTGCCTTTTTTTTTTTTTTTTTTTTAAAGTTTTTAATTTTCATATAAGGAAATGTGATGTGTACGAACCCTGTGACAGTAGTAAATGCCGACTATTAAAATTGAAGAAATTTGTTTCCGTCACAAGATAAACATATAATATTCAAGTCAGGATAATTACAAGTTTCTTCTGTTCAATACTTATTACAGAGTTTATTTTTATTAACATGAAAGTATTGCTGAGAAATAGTTTTCTTTACTGAATTACAAATATGCATTAGAAACGAATACCTTGGTTACAGAATGTGACAGTGTCAATATCAATAAAATCACAATGAAAAACTATTGTTATGATTTTGTATTAATTTAGTTTGCTATTTTTAATAGAATTGGTATTGAAAAATTATTTTATATTCCCATGCAATGCAGTATGAGACTTATTTGAAGAAAAAGCTACGTTGGAAAAATTAAATACAGGAGCATGCACATCTAACATTTTAATAGAAGATATCTCGTAATTGTACTTTTTTAACATCCAAAAAAATCGAGAAAATACGAGAGTCGTGCAGGTTTAAAAAGCTTATAAAAGCTAGAGGAAAACATCTAAATTCAGTTGTTTACTTATTGCTATTGATGATTATAGCGAATTTGGGGTGAAATCGGATTACCTTTCCCTATTTTGGATTAAGTTCTGTTGAACGTTTTAGTAGTTTAAAAGAAAACTACTGTGAGATGTTGTACAAATATATCTGAAGAAATTTTAATATTTTGTATTTATTCTTGGGATAAGAATAAATTTTATTCACTTTTCATCGGACTTGTGCATTCAATTTATTAAACCCAACGCATGCAACGCTATTATAAAAACAAGAAACAATTCTGAATCCCTTTTTTATTCATTATTCTCCATACTATTTATTTGTTTTCTGCACTGATGAGCCAGAATATTATTAACTTAACCGCAACTAGTTTTTTGTTGTGTTTTTTTGTGCTTACAATGAATAGAATGTGCAGATATTCTGCAAGCAGAAATACTAAAATAAAAGTGAGTTTGACATATTGCATAAAATTTCAGTTTTTAGAACACTGCAAAGAGACACATGCTTTGGGGAGACCTGGCACTGTAGATGAAGTAGCTCAAGCAATAATCTTTTTAGCTGATGAAGACAAATCATCTTTCATAACTGGTGTTAATCTGCCTATAGATGGAGGCCGTGGTGTCATGTGCCCACGATAGCTCCTTTTCTAGCATGAAGAATAAAGGTGAATATCCTATTTCTAAATTAAAGCAGCTTAAAATATTATTTAACGAGTCTAATTAATGCACCCAAAACAAATATAAAATTCATTTTTATTAACATTTTTCATAAAAAGTATATCTTTACAGTATTTATATTTACAGTAATTTATTTATAAGTACATTCTGAAGCTGCTAAATGTCATCTACAAGGAACAGCATCTTGAAACATTTAAAAATATAATAAATGTAAAATGCTTTGTAAAAATTATCACAGAATGTTTTACTGTCCTCTCAGCAGAAAATATCTGAAAATATAAAACAGATCATTGTCAAAATAATTAATTTTTGAATTGACTATAAAAAATTAAGGAACACACAAAAGCACAGAAATTATAACTAATATGAACATATGGTAAAACATTCAAAGAGGTATTAAAACATTAAATACTAATTTGCACAGATGCAGACAAACAAAACATTTTTCAGTTCATTAAAAAGTAAGTGAAATAATAAAAAGTAGCTACCGTAATTTCGCGCGTATAGTCCGCGGACTATCTGTGTTTAAAATGCTAATTTTTGAAGCTGCAGACTATCCACCAGTGTGGATAATACGCTGGTTGTTCATGGTTAAAATCGTTGAAATTTAAAAAACATGCTGTCGTGAACTGTCGATGATCAAATGTAAAAAAAGCAAGAGATTCCAAGAAAAATTTGTATATATCGTATCGATAGTAAACCATAGAGCATAGTGCAGAACGAATGAGTAGTAGCAAGTAGAGCTCCTAAAATCCAGGCTGGGCGCATCAAGCGATGCCGGGATATGAGCACTCACTTAGCGCAACCAGAGTATTGTATCCCAGTATCCTTCGTACTGCTTTAGCGCAACTGCCGGGAGGGGGAAAAGTAGTTGATGCGTCAACTCGGTTTTTAGGAGCCTTAGTAGCAAGTACCTGAAGTACGAAAAAAAAAAGCGTGATTCGTTTACTTATAGCGTGGTTTGGCAACACCAAGTGAGTGGGGTCGAAGGTCATATTTCATTACCACTTATCAGGAGGATAGCACGTTGCACAGTATTTTGTTTTCGTATTTTGTCTTTCATCTTCGATAACGTTGATGAAACGTTGCCTTTTTTTCTATTTATACTTAGTTCTTTGTTTCTAAAATACATTAATATTGCCGTATTAAAAAAATGTAATTTCAGTCCACGGACCATCCGGTGGTGCGGACTATCTGACGATTTTTGAAATTTTTTTTATATAAAATCGTAACTGCGGACTATACGTGCGAAATTATGGTAATTAATTAATTTCACTTCATCCACTTTATTATGCACAATCTCATAAATTGCTATGCTTTTTTATAATCACTCAGCTGCTTGTTGTTCAGATTGGTCAGGAAGTCATATTGTCTCCCATGCCTTTTGTACAGAAGTATATTTCTTATCTGTATTTTCATTTCAGCTGAAAGATTTTTGGTGCTGTAGCAACTAATCCGGCAGATTAAATGAATGGCCTACAGGAAGCCGTGATTTCATGTCATAAAAATTACCTTTTAAGCATTATTAAGAAACAGTTATACCAGAAAGGTTACTAGAATATTGATGAATTGTTAGGCAGGTATACATAAAAATTATAAAGTATACTATACTTTGTAAAATTACATGGTGCTGCATTATTCTGATATAAGAAAATTATGATGTTAACATAGATATACAGTCAAAAGTCGTTAATCCGGACTCGTTGGGACTTCGGCGATTCCGGATTATAGATCATCAGTTTAAATCTGGTAAGATGGCATGCAGAAATTATAAAATTAAAAATATGAAACCATAATTTATGAAATAAAGAACAATTATGATCTAAAGGGTATCAAAATTAAAAAAAAAAAAAAAAAAAAAAAAAAAAAAAAAAGAAGCTTAATATTTATTTGTTTACTTTATTAAACATTTCTTTCAATGTAAGTTGTTTAAGTTGCTTCGTTTTTTATGTGATAATACTTTCTCTTTAATTCTATAAACAGACATAATTTCTTGTTCAGTTACAAAGTTCCGCTGTTCAAGTCCTATAATTGCTGTGTCGAGAATACCGATTAATTTGTGAATCGAAATTTTTTCGTTTTCAATAAACACTAATAAATTCTGTGTCACTTTCTTCGCTATCGGAAGCGAATTATAATGACGAGGAATTTGATTTAAATCATATCAAAGACGGAGTACATCAAGATGAAATACTACATTTAGTAAGGAATTATAAGCCAAATAAAATAAAAACATCTGCCCTGAAGATAAGGATAGTGCTGACAGATCAACTTCCAGTTCACTGCGCGCCGCAACGTTCCCCCTCCCCCCTCACACACGCAGAGCAGCGTGAAATTGATAAACAGATTTCGGAATGGTTAGATAAACAAAGGATATGCCTTTATCCATTTTTTGCAGCAATTCCACTTTTTTTTAATGGACTTCGAAACATACTTTCGCTTTGTAGAGTTTTTACATATTAGTAAATATATATCAGAAATTCTATTTGACATAATCGAAAGTTCAAGCTTACTTTTATAAAATTGCTCTAACAGTCTGCAAAAAATAATAATCCGGATCCAATTCGAAGATTAAGGAACAACGCAATCTGCAACATTAACTGAATTAGATAATTTTAGCTTAGCTTATACCGTCCGTTATACATTAAACGCGCATTCGTAAACGTATTTTGCGCATGCGCACATGCATATTCGCAGCCGTAAAGGTCTTATGCGCATGCGCAGAAAGTTTGTAGCTTTGAGGTCCGGATTATAGATCATTCTGGATTATGGGTGTCCGAATTAACGACTTTTGACTGTATAAGGATGTTTAAACATAAGCTAACAACCAAGGTGATATATAGAAGTTAGGAATTTGAAGAGGGTAATAAGACTCTTGGATCATTTTGTTAATTCTATCACATTTATTAATTGTAGCATTTTTTTAAAAAATAATCTTTTTATCTTACAAAAAATATTATTACTTTGATATTAATTTAAAGAAATAAATTCATTTTCCGTTTGAAGACGACAGAACATAGAAGTGTGTATTGTCTCTTTGAAGAAGTTGCAATTAATTTTCTTCCTTCAAAATTTCTATAAAAAAGGTATTCAATAACTAGAAAGTTTAATTTTATTCGAATACTTTACCATGGAATACCCAACACAGAAATTCCCAAGTATGTATTAAAAAACAGCCCTTGAATCTTTGCAGAGACTTTCGATATACAGCCTCATGTGCTTTGCCGTAATTAAATAATGCAATCTAAATTCCACATACAGAAACAGTTACAATTTAGGTGAATTGATTAAAAAGAAAATTCTTTTGCATTCAAATTAGGTTCTCTTTTAATCATATTTTCACATAAACTGTTTGAAATCATCAATACTAAGGCTGTTCGCATATTTTTTAGACAATTTTTATTACATTTACAGAAAGATTTTACCTAAATTTTTTATGTTTGAATGCTCCATTTGATAACCCTACTACCTTTCTACACCATAATTTCCAAGACAATAAAGCCTTTTTTTAGTATCGGAAGTGGTATTTTATCCTATTCCTCTTGAACAATTTTCCAAAGACAGTTGTACATTGAAGTCTGGAAATTAGCTTTTTAAAAGTTCAAAAATGCAAAAATCCATGGATCAGGAGATTTAGTAGGGATATGAATGAAGGGTTATGGCCTTGATACCCATTTCTTGTTGCATTTTTTTCAATAAATTAACAGTGGATTTTGATGTGTAGCTATTTGCTTTGTCTTGATGCAGTTCTACTGATAGATGGCATTGTGGGTAAAGATAAGATATTCCATATTTGAATATAATGTATAAAATATGTTCCTGATAATATGTGGAGTTTTCTGCTCTCTCTTTAATTTTTATTTGTTGTTATATCAAAAACCAACAACAATCATAAATCCCTTTGAAAAACTTTTCTGTAGATTCTTTGAACCATGTTCTAAGATTTTTTTTTTCTTTGATAGTAATGATCTCTTTTTATTGCAGTCATTTAAATGTACCCAAGATTCATCTGTTGTGACAACAGTTTTCCATTTTTCTCTGAATAACTGTTTCTTACACAGAATTTTGCAGCGTGTTTTGCTTTTGGTGATATGTAATGAAAAAGACAATGCCATTACACTTTTTAGCCTTTTTAAGATTCAAATCAGCATTAATCACTATGTTTACAGTTGAAACCAAGCATTTTAATGATTATGCAACTATCTTTTAAATTCGAAGACTTTCTTTTAACATTAAAGTTCTTAACATTGCCACATTCGAAACATTCCGTTTTTCCCCCCTTGAATATACTTTTTGAACAATTTTTCTCCTTGAAGCCAAACTTTGACATTCTTTTCCTTCTGTATTGATAATATTATCTATTGCTGCTTTAGATACTGAAAAATCATGGCTTTTTATAGCATTTTTAACAAATATGAATAATTTTCTTCAAAACAGCACAAACATAGCCTTCCATCCATTGCTTCTTTAAAAGTGCCATTTTGCACAAAAGCGAAATTGTCAAATAGCAGACAATAATTTACAATTTCAAAAATATAGTTGCAGTTACAAAAAAAAAAATTTCCAAGCACGCAATTTTTTTCACAGCAAAGCAGTCTAAAAAATGTGTGAACAGCCTCTGTATAGTAGCAGGTGTGCCCACAAAGTAACCATACAATTTTTCATAAATAAGAAAAATGTTACTAACCTTCAGATAAATTTATCTGTCAAAATAATAACCAGAAGAGTCTATATAATTTTGACAATGTTTTTTTCAGGTCATCGAAACATTGTTTATAAACGCTGTTGGGACTAACCATTCGTAAAATATGCTTAATATTTGATTTAATATCTGAGACATTTTCGAATCTCTGACCTTTTGTGGCTTTGGAAAAAGGAAAAAATCAGCTCAGATATCAGCTTCGAAGCACAAATTGAGCATGAATGTTCTCCATTTTCATACTTTGAATTAAAATTAACCTACAACTTTTTTTGCTTACCCGAAGCA